CTGGAAAATAAACATGAACAAATAAACTTCTAACTACATTACATATCATGCATTATGTTTCCTATTGGAAATAAGTAGTTCAAGGTACTTCCACCTTTCACCAATAAAGTGAAAATTGTGTCAGTAATGTGAAATATTAATGAAAACCTATTAAAACACTATAAAGAACTCTGGGTAATTAATAAGTATGACAAAAAAGTAACAGACAAGGTATTCTTAAATTTGTAACTTAATAATAATAAATAATTAAAATGTAATCACACATCGTAATGAGAACTACAAGTGTTTGACAACAAATGTCAAAGACTTGTTATCGTCCTCTCTTTTGTACTTTTCAAGCTTATTGTCAAAACAAATATCTATGTTGTATATTTTTTCTCCTTTTAGGAAACTGGTGACATTTCCTAAGTCTATAGCCAGGCAGTGTAAGACATCCAAAATAAATGAAAGCATTTTCTATTATTTCTTTTTCTTTTGCAGACTATTAAACCAACAGCTGCATCAAAAGGTATTTGCTATAAAGAGTGGCAGGGGGAGGGGAGGGAGGAGAGGGTGATTTGGCATTAGTGAGCCTATGGCATAAGCACATGAATGAATGAATGAATGAATGTGTATGCGTGTATGTGCATGTGTGAAATGTCTCTGCACATAGATGACTCTGGTAGTATTTAGCCACAAAGGAGTCAATTAGTAGACCTTGTGACCTTACCTGATTTCACCTTTCCTTGAATTTTTTTACTAATGCTAATAATATCAGTGGTGTTATTTTTATTATAGACATTATTAGTACTATAATATTTTAGACATTAATAACAGCAAACTAAGATAATGTAAAATATTTTAAAAAATCAAGGAAAAGGGTAAACAGGTGAGACAGGCAGTGCTCATAATTCACTCATTGGTGACTTAGTACAAGTGTAGTCATCTACATGTAAAAACAATTAATAAAGTAAACTGACAGTGGGCATGGTATGTTTAAAAATGTAACTTTTGTGTGCATTTACATATGAAATATGCTTTTCATCAAGACTCCCTGGTAATATGCTATAGCTTATAAAGGGGTTTGTATGAAGTATTAATGTTAAAAAATAAAAGTATAAAGTTCGGCTTCACTCTAAAAGTCAGTGATGTCCACCATTGTTACATATGTCTTTATTTGAAATTGGTTTTTACTGTCATAAAGAACACTTCAATAGGAAAAGCATCTCCGTGGCAGATTTTTTAACTTCTGAATAATAGGCAAGATACTGATTGTTTTATGCTGAAGATGAAAGTATACAATGATACCTGCTCTAAAACTGTATGAAATTTTAAAAATTAGTTGTATGCATAGTTGTAGTTATTGCACTTTTTCATGCATTTCTGGTAAAAAATGTAACCTGCAGACACTACCATAGACCACAGGTGCTATAAATACATTGATAGTCAACCCCACCCAGGCATTCAAAGATTTTAATTCAATTATTTGGAAAGATATGGAGTGCAAATGACTGAACACCTACTCTATGCTGGTTTCCCATGCCAAATGGCAAAACTTCTAAAATTTCTAGTCATTATAAAAAAAAAATTTGATTTGGGTAACTAATAATTTTTCATAAACATAACATTGAAATGAGTTTTTCCTATTAAATGAGGATGATTAAAACAGTTACCCTTATGTGCATGAGTTAACATATATAACCCTCCTCAAAAATTATAACCACCCAGTGACCAGCTGCACCTTTCCCCCGTTTGAAGCCTGGGAAAGATTCAGTGGTTTCAGTAACTCTTGCATTCCATTTATTTTACAGATGTGCTTATATAATTCTCAAAACTGAACTGCTAGGATTATATGATTATAATACTCTTACACTGATATTCCCATCCATAGGACTCCCATTTCTTCATAATTGGATTTTCCAGGAAAAAATAAAATAAATAAAAAGATCATTAGTACTTTCTGGTTTAGATTAGTTTTCTTTATGATTTCATATATCTATTAATCCCTACAATCAGGATGACGTGATCATCATGTCATGAAAAAATTTAGCTCGAGTGGCGGTGATGTGAGCATACCATCAAGGGAAAATCTAGCTACAGGCTGGGGGACACAAACTTGCCATCGTGAGCATTACGGCTGAAGGCCAAGGTGATGGGAAAGACTTGCCGCAAGTGCACAAATCCCTTGGGAGGTTGATTAGACTCATTTGGCGAATTTGCATTATACCCATTGATAAACGAGTGTGGAATGTAAAGTCCTTGAGTTATGATTGGAAGAGCACTGGCTCCATGGAGGATGCCATTTCCATGCTCAGCATCCTATTCTTGGCTGCCATGACCAGTGGCACAGCTTGTATTACAGAAAATAGAATATTCTAAAAAAAATGAAAAATCTTGAATCGAGTTGTATACTACCTAGAGAGATCATATGCTTATGCATAAAAAGAGAAAATAATATTACAAATAGGAGGCATAGAATCTTGTCACCGCATACTAGTGTCTGCGTCTGCCGGCCTGTGAGCCGTGCACCCAGAAGTGCCGCCACTCACCTAAGAGATAACAAATTCTAGCAGCCTGTTCTCAGGTCTTTGTTTAGATAAGTTGCAGTACCATCCCACGGTTGTAATATTCATATGCTTCAAATTCTGTTGGTTTCACTCACAAGATTGCACAGGGCATGGTGGATCCCAATTTTGAATTTTGGAAAAATATAGATTATGAAAAACTGAAAAAATGACCCAAAAATAGTTCATAATGGAAACAGTCCCCCATAAAAAAAATTATGGAAATTAAAAAATTGAGATCCAAGATGCCCTTCACATAGAGTTGCTCTAATTGAAGAATATTTTTTTCAGTAGTTCTGGGAAAAAGTATGACCTATGAATGGTACCACAGATGGTATAATTTATTTATTACTTTTTGTTATTAATTGCCAGAATTCACAATTTTACAAGTCTTGAGTTTGGATGATATTTCCACCTTCAGCCCTATAATCTGGATGATCTTGAAAAAAATTGGCTTTGAGGAGCAGGTGATGTGAACATGCCATCATGGGAAAATCTGGCTATGGGCCAGGGTGACATGAACTTGCCAGTGTGAGTATTTTGGCTGAAGGCCAGGCTGATGGGTAAGACTTGCCTCAAGTGCACAAAGCTCTTGGAGGTTGATTAAACTGATTTGGCATTTGGAAGGGGATTTTGCATTCCCATTGATAAACAAATGTAGAATGTAATGTCCACAAGTGCCAGCTCCTGGGAAGACATTATTTCCATGCTCAGGATCCTATTCCTGCCTGCCTTGATCGACAGCACAGGTTGTATTACAGAAAATTTAATATTATGAAAAAATAAATAATAGGACATAAATAACAAAATGTTAGTTATTTTCATTATTATTGCACTGAGTTATCCTCTATTACCATCTAAATAAAGCAAATCAAATGACAAATATAGACATTGGAAACTAGCATAAAAGCATAAACATTGCAAAGATATGGAGTTTTGTCCCTACCCAAGAGTGGTCATTTGTGCCCCGCCTACAAGCTGCATACCCGGCAGAGTGTCTGCTCACACAAACCTAATGCTCATATTTTGGGCCACCATCTTTACTCTTACTATTACTGCATCCTTATTCCTTTTTACTCAGGAGAATACTGACAGCATGACTTTTTTTTTGTCAAATGCTGGTAGTGAGAGAGAGAGAGAGAGAGAGAGAGAGAGAGAGAGAGAGAGAGAGAGAGAGAGAGATGGATTCACAGTGGTAAGTCAAAAATTACCAAGCTAATGACTAATGAAGGAGAATTACATCTGTCTGACCATATTACAGTGAAGAAAGCAGACATAATTGCTCACAATTAAACATGCATTATATTGTTTACCAACTACAACAGGAAACATTATACTTTCTCATTAACCCAATGCTGTGCCCACTTTCTATGTTTTTCGTGAAATGTCTGCCGATAGATGGCTCTGCTAGCGCCTAATTTGAAATGGCGGGAAAAACGTATTTTTCACTAGTGCTATGAAAATCGATGGTGTTATTTTTATCATAAACATTATAATTTTTATAATGTTTTTTAACATTAGTAACAGCAAAATAAGATAACGTAAAATAATTCGTAAATCAAAGAAACGGGTAAACGGGCGGTACTCGTAGTTGGCTCATTGGGGATTTAGTACAAGTGTTGCCATCTATGCATAAAAACAATCAAACAAGTACTCACGGTGGGCATAGCACATACGTACACGTCATACACGGCACCAATGGGTTAATATTACCTATTACCATCATCATCATGACTATCATTGTTACTGTTATTATTATTGTTCCTTTATTATTCGATAATAATAAGGTTTTCTAGTACCTTGGGATCCGGTGCACAGGTAACACTAATCGGGTAAGAACTCAATAAAAAATTTCAACTTCATTGACTCTGTGTAATCAGTAAAATGTACAGTGCATCTGAGAATCAGGGAAGACAAAATTTTAAGAAAATCTACCCTTCGCAATCCCTCAATCACTAAACGCTCCTCCCTTTCATCAGTTCCACTTTTGCAAGATAAGGAAAGGCACCTTTCTTTCTTCGGTTTTGGAGTAAGTGAAGTCAGGAATAAATGAAAGGTCATCATCTTCAGCATGAGCCCTCATCAATGTCCTCTCTATTCAGTACCAATGTCTTTGGCAAGGTTGCCAGGAACCACAACTGTTTTGCGATCAAAAGACCTGCAATATTGGCATCCAAAGTACTAAATATGAACCCCTTCACTAACTATCAAGTTTTGCGATCAATAGACCTGCAAAATTGGCATCCAAAGTACTAAATATGAACCCTTTCACTAAGGTAGCACTGTACTGATACTACATTATAGTCAATGAGGCAAGTAAGTGCGTCATTTTCAAAGTCCTACAATCCTGATCATTGACAGGGCAGTTGGCCTGGGAGATGGAAACAGTTCCTAGTAAAGTATTAAGGGAAGAGTGAGAATGAGCAGGAATGGGTTTGCCAGTGAGGTCAGTCATGA